GTATTCACCCAATTTCGTTTAAGGTGATGAAGGACTGGTAGAAGAAGAATTTTCCTACAATGATATAAGTAGATTTGATGTTTTCATTCAATTTCACATAGCTTTGCTTTCCCAAAAGTTGATCTCATCCAGGATGAAATTGAATGGGAACGTCAGCTCAACTCATATCATTGTGGGAAGATTCTTCTTCTTCCAGTCCTTCATCACCTTAAACTAAATTGTGTGAATACATCTCATACTACTGATTTACCGGTAATCACGAAAACAATACTTAATTTGAAAATCATATAATATATGCTAGACTGTACGGTTTTTAGTCAAGCTGGAGGTGCTGATATGACCAGTTTATTGAAAGTCAAAATCACAGTACCGTCAAGTCGGGATAAGTCCAGGTTTTGTAAGGCAGGTTTGTGTTAGATTAAATGACAATTTGAGGACTACTCAACTTATTGTGGAAAGATTCAATACCGATTCTTCGTTGCATTAAACGAAATAGAGCAAATTCAGCAGTTATTAAATATCTTCTGTTAGTTTAGAAAATCTATCCCCAAAACGTTTACCTTTTCTTGCCTCATTTAAGGGGGCGTAGGTTGCCCAAGTTCTATCATCTAAATTCGCGAGTGTTCTTTTAATGGATTAGGACAGGCAACACGACAATTATTGCAACCGATCTACCCACGCCTCAATCGAGTCTCGGCTTCGCAGCGAACAGGTTCGGAATGGTTGGGATTCGGCTCAAGTGAGTCTCATTAAAAGGGAGACCTATTGCCTCGCGGTGCCTCAATGAAACAGTTGCTAGGCTACAGATCTGCTGAAAGAGACATCCGGATCGCTGGTACCTCGAGCCTTCAGCAAAGTGTCCATTCATTCTGGCCGTGGCCTTCCAGACTTACTCGTTTGAAAAATGGCTTTCTGCCCTTGGCTCCTCCCAACGCAGCACCTCCTTTGCCCAGACCGCTTGCGTCTCGCCGGCCACTTCTGTCGCCGTCGTCCCGGCCACCGCCGTCATCTTCACCTGAGACGGGCAGAGATAAATCGAGAGAATGAAGTACACCAGGCCACGTGTTGCAGTGGAAAAAGCAAAATAATGCAATAACACCACTCGGGTTCGAATTCCGTTTGTCGTGTTATTGAGACTAGTTTTGGCAAGGTCGAAACTGCACTGGATTCGAGTCTGAATGAGCATATCTTTTGGAAAGCAGGCCTAAATAAAGTTGCTTGGTAGCGAGATGCCACTCCTCTTCACTTTAGCAAAATTAACTATCATTCCTTAATTAATGTAAGCCAACCAGGCGGAATTATGGTTTTAGTCAAGATCTACCGATTATCATGACATCCTACTCAAATGTATACAAGTAGTGTCGTCGACTGTAATGGCAAGTGTATATTTTTACTCAGACGACTATCTCATCCTAAAAATGTGATATTGAAGAAGCCCAGCTCACTTTAAATTTCACATTTTACGCTGCTACGATCTGGGTTCGAATCCTGTTGGGGCTGCCAATATGATCAATTGCGACGAGGTCGAAACTGCCGTCCAGTCAGTTGGGGACGTGAATCCCCTTTGGAAGGTAGTGCTGAATGAAATTCAATGGTATCCTGAGACCTAAGCACCTAATTGTGGGAAAATGTATAGTTTTTTATATTACTCAGAAATGAAGACTTGTGCCAGGCCCAACTAAAACTTGGGCAAAAAGCTTATCTCTGGTCAATCTGATCACGAATGAAATGATAGTGTGAAAAATTAAAATCTACTCGCACTCGTAATGAGTAGGATTGCGAGGTTACACATTTCCCTGTGCCAGTTCTATTCCCGTCGAATGTGCAGATGAGAGACGCTGAAATGAAATTGAACCCTCAGTCCAGTCCAGCCAAGATTAAGAGCAATTAAATGACATAATGTAGTTGACTCAAGCGTGCATTTAAAAATACTATTTACAATATATTACTTATGAAAGTAAGGCTGATGGAAAAGTTTGAGTGAAGAAATAGCATACTTTAAAATAGTAATTGTTTGACTTTGTTTTGACAACTTGGTAGGAAGACATACAGGAAAGCATTGGGTCCTGAGTTGGACCGTGAAATTGGTACATCTACAGACATTTCGCCGGCATCGTCAATGACCCTTGCCAATCTTAGCACAACACTACAACTCGTCAAAGAGACAAGTGAAATCGATCCTTTGACCAATTGTTTGCTAACCAATTGTGGTATTTCTCCTTTTGTTCAGGACTATTAACCTTTCCTGTATCCTCGTTTTACACCTTCATTGTCACAATTTCTTATTTGCTTATCTAAATGTGGTATGGCGTACCATTTTTAGCGGATTTCATGAGGCCTCGTCACATCCCACACTGGCTTTCTCAACCCACCCCATACCATTGTGCTGGGAGTCCGCAATCCTCTTTCCATAGATCCCATCAGTCTCCCTTTTGCCCCGTACCATCCGCCTCCCATCTCCCCAATTCAGGTTGTCCACTTGACGTCTGCTTACTTCCATTTCGAGTGAAAGTGTTGGGTGAAGAGATTCGAAGGTCAATTCCACCAGAAGACGATGGCGGATTTCTCTTGACTAGTATTCGTTTTGCTTTACTTTAACATTCATTCTGATGGTGTTTCTGAGGTAATATCATTCGATTCCGTGAAAAGGTGCTAAGCTTTCGTCCGTCATATGACGGACATCATCAGAGCAAAGTATCATCTTCACAACAAAGTTCAAGCTAACGAGTTAAGAAAACTCACCGGCAAACATATATTTGCTATAACAATCGACTAGTATACTTTATTTTTTGAATTAAGTATTGTTTTTGTGACTACCAGTAAATCAGTAGTATGAGATGTATTCA